CTCTCATTTGTCAGGTACTACACTGTCTGATGGGGCTGGTACTCTCAGCTGGTTTCATTTTATGAAATAAGGAAACCTAACAACAGTGACGTGAGCAGAAACACACAGCTATTTTGACTTTTGGCTATGGGAAGCCAAGTGCCATGGAAATCCACACATGGACCCTGGTGCAGACAGAGGGTCATGGATGGTTTCTTAGAAGGTGGGCCATGGACTTTGTCTTTACACATGCACATGTTTTCCCATTTTAATAACCATTAATTCTCCTTCCATGAACATGCACGCAGATGACTTTCCATTTGATATTCCTGCTGCCATGCTGCTCCTTTGGTTAGATGGTAAGAAGCAGACTTCTGAGCCAAATTGTGTGGAAAAATCACTAGACCATCAATGCATGCTGTCCCTTAGCTGTCACCAGCAATATCAGGATGTCACTTAATCCTTTGCCATTAGTACACAACTAGGACTTATTTCGTCACTACTGAAACTGAATAGTTTCCCATCAATGCTTTAACACATAAATTCAAGATCCTTACTGTTACAACCAAGAGAATGTCAGAGAACATTACCAGTGAAATAACACTCTAGGATGCCTCATAAGTATACTACTTTTATTTATTTTTATAATCACAAAAGTGATTTTGGCACAGCTAGCAGCATGTAAGCAAATCAGACCTTCATATTCATGCTAAGATTTTTGGCCTTTCAAATTACTGTGAGCTCTATGAGAACAGAGCTTGTCTTGTTTGATTCTGAAATTCTATCACAATGCCTGCAAATAAAACAAGGTTTATAACCACATGCTGTAAAAATATAATGAAGTGATAGATGATGAAAAGATAGAAATTGAAATCATACTTTTGGAGCCCTACACATATAATGCCAATAAACACAGCTCAGTAACCATCACATTAGGGCAAGATGAAGAACAAGTAACGTGTTCTTCATTGCCTGCCATATAAATAGGATGACAATTCAGTTTGCCTGTAACTATGCTAGTTTACGCCTCCTCTTGTCCTAGCATCTTGTCCGACTGGAGTTGCGTCTCAGAAGGATCCTGCATTGGGTGATAAATGTTATGGTCCTTCTACATCTACAGGATGTTCCCTTAATGAACAACAGGTCTTTCAGACAAGAGTGTCCCTGATCAGAGAGAGAGCTTACCATTGGGTCACTCTGAATTTCACTTTGAAGACCTATGAGAAAACTCTGGGCCATAAGTGTTTTATGATGCTTCTCCACTTAAAGGCAAGTAACCATTTGCAAATACGAAGTTAATCCCTAACTAAGAGAATATCCTTGGCTCCATTGGCAGCCTCCGTTAGCATTCTCTATTCCATTTTATTGGTAAGGGAAGTGAGGTATGGGAAGAAAAAGTGACCCGTCCAAGGTCGCATCAAGCATGAGTCAGCCAAACATAAGGAGCTTGTGGGAGCTCCAACTTTTGTTTCTTGATTACCTCTCTAAACTGCAAAGTCATTAGTTTGTAATGAAATCAACAGTGCAGTCAGGTTGGAAAGATGTTAATCATTTAGAAAATGTCTTTATAAACTGTGGGCACTAATAATCTATTTCAAATTATATAAGCAAACCAATGGGCATACTTGGATAATATTTTTAATGGGTATTAATTTCATGATTAATAATATTTTAGTTTCACTGAGTTACAGTCACTATTTGGGGTTTTTTTGGGGGGGGGTTGTTGTTTTTGTTTTGTTTTGTTTTTTTGGTACCAGGGATCAAACTCAGGACCTTGGATTTGCCAGGCAGGCGCGGCACGACTGAGCTACATCCCTGGCAGCAGTCACTATTAAAACCTCATGTAGTTTCGCCACCTGCTGCGCAAGCGCAAGGACCTGAGTTCGATCCCAGGTACCAAAAAAAAAAAAAAAAAAAACCTCATGTATCAGCTCCACATTATCAGGGTGAAGAGAGTATATATAAAATAGGTGAATTTAAAATAATCATTTAATCCTTCTGGTAATTAAAAATAAAGTCTGCTACATTTTTACATTTTGTAAGTATATCTAAATTTCATATAATGGTACATTTAGATAAAATTTTGGTAGATTAACAGATTACAGCAAAAAAATCTCGATGGTGCTAATTCATTCTCTATAGCAACAGAAACAAAAGCTGACTAAATTCATATTTAATAGTTTATATCCAAGATGCCTGTGCAACAGAGTGACTCTACTGCTTGTATAAAAGGAGAGGCATAAATGTGTAGAGTTGGAGAGACTCGGTATTATAGATACATCATCCCACATTAACTTATAAACATGCTGCAATGTCAGTCAAGGTCCTATTTGCATCTTGTGGAGGTGGAATAGAGAACTTAGTAGAACATATATAAATTCATTTGGAGGAGTAAATTTAAGAAAATAAACCAAGAAAAGTTTTATAAAGTATAAACTACAATAATAACAATAGCAGTTTTCTAGCACAGGCTATAGGGATGAGATGAAAAGTTCAGAAATAGGCACAGGTGTGTAAGTATTCAGTAGATGATAAAGACAAGAAAGGATGGAAAATGTATAATACATTGTGAGAGCTAGCTAGGTCCTTACCTTATACCAAATGCCAAATACATTCCAGGCAGTGTGAACGTTACAGTGTAAGAAAACAAAGTTAAAATATTTGGGGAAGGCTTTTCTATACATGACTTCAAAGATAAAATAATTTTTAAAGAGCCTAATAGATTTGATCACCTAAAACATACATTATCATCACTAAAATAATATGTACTAAGAGTATCAAGCATTTTTGACTATTCATATAATCAATTGAATTTATCATTTACCTCTTAGTTTCTTTTAATACACAAAATATTTTAAACTGTAAGAAATTAAAAATATGAATTTTTTCTTTAAGGTTTACGTGTTTTAGTTTTTTTGCTTTAGGACCACAAATGACTTTCTTAACCCCAAATCAGATCAATTTTCACTTTTTTTTTAGAATTCTTTCATTTCTCCTTATTTTATGGTAATTAAATAGATGAGAGGTTATGATATGATTCTCTTATTATCTGATTTCAAAAAATGAGTCACTTCTGTGAGTCTCACTTTCCTTTTCCTAAAAAACCAGACACAATGGGGCAGGGGATTCAGCTCAGTGGCACTGCACTCGCCTCATAAGTGCAAGGTCATGAGTTTGAGCCCCAGTACCAAAAAAAAAAAAGCCAGGGATTTAGCTCAGTGGTCCCATGCCTACCTTATAAGTGCAAGGTCCTGAAGAAAACCAGACACAATAATCTAGCCTATTAGGATTCTGTGGCAATCAAAAGAAATAATTTATAGAAAGCACTTATCATGGTAGAGCTTGGTACATAAAAAAGTACCTATAATTGGTGGTTATTACCTTTAATGCTATCACATTGCATATTGGACTTCTTAATTTCATTGGGATATTGTTATGACTAGGGACTTATAATAGTGGTAGTGTCACTTTATTTTTTAAATTTTTCATTAGCGTATGTCTGCAGCACCTAATGATTACATTCATCATGGGGAGATGGTACATGTACGTAACACATCGTATCATATGTCACTTGATTTAAAAACATGTTTCATGTGATTTAATGTACTAGTTTCTTATGAAACTATTTTTAAACTAACATGTCAATGAGAAAAGAATATCTCAATTTTTTGAAGATTAACTAGTTATATACAGCATATTACAATCTGGTTTTTTTTTTTCCCCTTAAATTCTTTCAGTGGTACATTTTAGGTATACAATACTTTTACACTTATCATTGGGTGCTTGCACCTGTACATGATGTATCTTGGTTCTTATTTTTTACCCATTACCTGTGTGCCCTTCACCCCTCCACTCTTCCCTATTTACAAAGACTTTGTTTCCATTTTTTCCTTTTAGGGAAAAAAATTTTAGCAGCTGTACCTCGGACAAAGGACTACTATCTGGAATATATAAAGAACTTAAAAAAGATCAGACCCCCCAAATATAAAGACCCAATCCAAAAATGGGCAACTGAAATGAACAGACATTTCTCAAAGAAGTAAAAGCAGCAAATAAACATATGAAAAAATGTTCACCCTCACTGGTCATTCAAGAGATGCAGATGAAAACAACACTGAGATTCCACCTCACCCCACAAAGAATGGCTGCTATCAAGAAATCAACCAATAACAAATGCTGGTGGGGGTGTGGCAGAAAGGAACCCTTCTCCATTGTTGGTGGGAGTGCAGACTGGTGCAACCACTGTGGAAATCAGTATGGAGATACCTCAAAGAACTAGGACTAGAGGTCCCATTTGTCCTAGCTATTCCTCTGCTGTGTATCTTCCCAAAAGAATTAAAAGAATCATACCATAGTGATATATGTGCACCCCTATTATAGAAGCACAGTTTGTAACAGAGAAAGCTTGGAAACAGCCCAAGTGCCCATCAACTGGAAACTGGATAAAGAAGATGTGGTTATTTTTATAAAATGGAGTACTACTCAGCCATAAAGAGCGAGAAACTAGAGACATTGATAGCTAAATGGATGCATATTGAGGCCATACTCTTAAGTGAAATAAATAGGATACACATGTGTAAATACTAAATAGTTTCTCTGGTGTGAGAAACTGAAAGTGTAAATAAGGATTAAAATGATTAAAATGAATAATTGATAATGTGAAATAAGAAGAAAAGCTCCAAAGGGGTAGGGGAAGTGGGAGGGGTAGGGGAAAGGAAAGAAGGGAAAAGAAAAATTATGTTGTTTTTTTTTTAAGAGATGGGGTCTCATTTCACTGCCCAGGTTGGCCTTGAACCCCTGGGCTCAAGCAAACTCCTGCCTCAGCCTCTCAGTAGCTGAGTCTGAAGGAGAAGAACACTGTGCTTTGCTACAATTTGGTCTTTTAAAATTGCCATCTGCAGGTATCAGATGGCCAAGTAAGAGTGTAATCCAAGAATATTAAGTGGTTTCTTACATGCCAGAACTGCTGAGACAATTCATGAACTTGATATAAAGAAGATGTCTACCTTTCTTTATCTTACCTCTAGGAGGCCATCCTCTGGCAGATCTGTACAGTGCACAGCATTCTGGATCTTAGTTTTACCAAAGATTGCTCTGAGGGTCCCAGGGCGTAAATGTCGGGCAATTTCCTATGAAATACACATTCACAGAGAGTTAGTATAGGGTATTAGTAAGAAAACCACTAGCTATATGAAACACTTGAATTATTTTATTTCTAAAATACATGTTATACTTTGAGGGTACTGATTTTTCCTGGAAACAGCATGAATTTACAGTGGACCCTTGACTTACAAACTCAGTTCGTTCCCAAGAGCTGGCTGTAACTCAAGTTGGTCAATTGCCTCCAATGTCTCTCTCCTGTATAATTTTAGGTCACACTTTCTTCCAGGCAGATCTCAGTGTCCTTAGAGACACTGGCCCAGGATTTCTCAGTGAACCCCACACAGGTCAGGATGTTGTCCTGTTCCTTCCAGAACTCTTCAAGGGTTAAATCTGTATCTGAGGCCATCTGGAAGCACAACTGGCCACCATTTGGGCCATAACTCAAAACTTTGGTTGTAAGTTAAAACTAAAATTCCAGTTGTAACCCATGTTGTTCATATGTCAAGCCGGTTGTAACTCGAGGGTCCACTGTTTGGAAATTTTCAGCACTGAAATATCGTTTACTTATGAAGTTGCTTCTGTGGTCCACTGTAACCTTTGTCAGTCCGCGGTAATCTACTGTAATGGACGCCAAAAGGTAAACACATTTCTTTTTATCAATAGATTATTGGAATCACAGAAAACATCAACCCAGCTCATCACTCTAAATGACTTATGTTTATAAAGATAGTAAAAATCTTACCAACTTGATTTAACAGGAAACCATTTGATGGTATTGAATTTTTAAGGTTTGTTTTTTTTTTAAGTGTTAGTTGTATCTGCTTATTACTAGCTCATCTTGGAGGGGGGTAATGGTCACAAACAGCCCGGAATTTCATGAACATTGGAAGTTTTACAAGAATATAACAAAACAAGAGAGGTAACAGGATGATAACAATGGACTATAAAAACTTAAAGTGAGAAAGAAAGGAAGTGAGGATGTAGGATACCAAGTGAGGAGAGAGAGAATGAAAAGGTGGATGGAGGGATTTGGGCTGAGCCAAATGGATGGGATGACTATTAAGATAAGTGTGTTAGAGAGAAGTAAAGCAGAAAATTGAGAGACCGGGACACTTGAGCTTGGCAGGTGTGGAGAAAGGAGGCTACAATGACTGATAATGACTAGTCAATGGTGGAGCAATGGGTGAGGTTAGGTTGAAGACAAGAATATAGGAAGAAAAGGAGCACAGCAGATAGAGACCAAGATACTGAATGAATCACTCCCGTGAACCTGAAGAATCACACAGCACTGGGATAAGCAGGAGGCTTATGGTACAAGGATGTGAACAGCATTCACATTTGTGATGCCATCCTTAAGGGTATTTTGAAAGTGTTCATGCATTTAATTATAGCCATGTGATGCATCATGACAGTTTGGGTCGATGATTGGCCACATAAATGAATGTGGTCCCAGAAGATTTAATGGAGCTGAAAAATTTCTATTGCGTAGTGATATCATAGCTATGATAATGTGATATAATGCATTACTCATATGTTTGTGGTGATGTTGGTGTAAAAAAAATCTATTCCGCTCCCAGTCATATAAAAGCGTATCACATAAAATTATGTACCATGGGTATGATACTCAGTAACAATAAAGGGCTATGTTATTGGTTTACGTATGTAGTACTCTTATTTTTATTCTAGAGTATTCCTTTTACCTATTAAAAAAAGGTTTACTGTAAGGCAATAGCCCATGTTACTGGCAGCACTCTTACACATCTTGCGCTTAGGATTTCATTTTGGATTCTTTTTAAAAAGGTACTGATATATTGATTTCAGTTTTGATTACCAGAAAACAACATATAGGTATATACATGTAAAAATACTGAAATATTAACAAATACTACGAGTGAAGGTGAAATACTAAAAGGATCACTATGAAGTGATCCTTCATGGATCATTTTCCTTCTTCATTTACTAATAGATTTTTTCCCCCTACTTATTTCTGACAAATTCATGTACCTTCTGCTCTATGGTAAAAACCATACTATCATGCCCACCCCCTCTCCCTTAAAGGAGCAGAAATGATTAGCATATACACAAAGTACTGTACCAACATACAATTTCATTTAATACCATAAGTACTTCTTGAAAAGTTACAGTAATATTCATAAATGATAGGTTATGTTGAGAAAATTAGGCTCTTTGGAGAGCAGTATTTATTTGCATTTACTAGAGAGTCAACAGCCTTTCAAACTTCACCAAATTCCTCGTAAAATCATCCCTCTCTACAACCCTTAGTGCCCTGTTCCATCAAGTGCTTGGTTATTTCATAGCTCATTGTAAGTACTAAAAGTTCTGCTCAGGTAATCCCGCAGAGGGAATAATAATTCTGGCTTAAAGCATGATCTCTAAGTCTAAGATAGAAAAATGCACCAGGTAGAATGGTGATTAGCAAAATACTGGGAATGAAGAAGTATTTAGTTATTCTATGGCTATGCATTTTAAAGAATGTCAGTATTTATTGAATAATAAGTGTGTATGGCTGATAAAGTATGTCTAGACAAAGAACTAATTGCTTCCATAGTAAGCTATTCTGTTAGTTCTCCACAATATAAGAAAGATGGTATTGAATTTTGTATGTAAGAATCAAAATGACTTTCCATATAACAAACTGAAGGAGATTTGTGACATTTACTAATTATAGAACTTTGAAGAAAGAGAATTTTATTATCAGCCACAGAATACACTTGTATGAGGAGCATGGAGTGGTTAATCTTTAAGTTACTAGTGTAATTCCAGGAAAATTTAAGTACAAGAGAAAAAGTCTTTCCTAAGTTATAGGATCATGTTAAGTTATAATCATGTTATCAGTACTATAAATAAGTGAATAAATATTAGAAAGGGATCTAGAATAGCTTCAGGCCTAGCAACTCTAAAATAGGTATGAAACAAAATTTTAAAATGTGTTGGAATCATTGCCCTTATTTCATAGTCAACAAGGGTAATAAGACAACAGCAAAGCCAATAATGAAGCTCCGATAATTAAAAGAGCAAACACCCATGCTTCTGCCCATTACGGGTGATCTTCAACAACAAGTCTTGCAGTGTTAACCAGTGCACACGGCTGAGTCCTCTGCTTGACTCCTCTGGCTGTTCAGAAGCATCTTACAGAAGCAGGTCTTCCAACAACCTTTTTTCCACTTGCATGCAACCTTGAATGGCTGCAGTTATACTTTTATATTCCCTGGAGACCAGCAATACCAGATGAAGTCTAATACAAGATAATGAAACACAGAGAAGAAACTGGAACTGGAAAGGAGACCAGACAAGAGATCCAAAGTTTGCATTCTGTGGTTTAAGAATCCTTTCAGAGACTATGCATAAGATTTAGAAAAAGTGACTACAAAGTTAAACTCAACTAGTACTTGCTATTTCATCCACTGCATCATCTGAGATCATAATAAATATAATTATTTGTACTAGCGGCTATATGAATTGCTTATATATGAGGAATTATTAAACATCTGCTTTCTGAACTCACAGGCTCCACATTTTACTTTTCAATCAGTAAAAATTAGCTATAAAAAAGTTTATAATGTGAAGAAGGTCACAATTAAATGTTTTTTCAGGTAAAACATTTAGACAATTCAATCCTGTCTTTCCCATTAGATTTCAGTAAACCATATGATATGATAATCATTGCTTCTTTTTTTTTTTTTGCTTAAATTCTTTTATTGCTACATTTTAGGTATACAATACGTTTACATTTATCATTGGATGCTTGTACCTGTACATGATGTATCTTGGTTCTTATTTTTTCCCCATTATCTGTCCACCCTTTACCCCCTCCACCCTTCCCTATTTACAAAGACTTTGTTTCCATTTTTTTCCTTTTCTCATAATTTTTCCTTTCCCTTCTTTCCTTTCCCCTTCCCCTCCCACTTCCCCTACTCCTTTAGACCTTTTCTTCCTATTTCAAATTATCATTATTCGCTTTAATCCTTATTTACACTTTCAGTTTCTCACACTAGAGAAACTATTTGGTATTTACACATATGTATCCTATTTATTTCACTTAAGAGGGTGGCCTTAATATGCATCCATTTAGCTATAAATGTCTCTAGTTTGTCATTCTTTATGGCTGAGTAGTACTCCATTTAATTAAAAAACCACATCTTCTTTATCCAGTTTCCAGTTGATGGGCACTTGGGCTGTTTCCAAGCTTTAGCTATAACCATTGCTTCTTACTGAGCTGTTGGCTATTTCAATCAACAATAGGCACTGGCTAAAATGAAAATAAAGTCGTATGTGATATAGGTGTTATTTTAGAATGTAAAATTATGATCTCCTGATACTCCTCTCCTTAAAAGAACTGAGAAATCCTGAAATCCTACTCCTATAATCCAAGCTACATGGAAGGTTGAGGCATGTATGTTACAAGTCTGAAGGTAACCTGGGCAACTTTTGTATTTTCTCAAAATAAAAAAAGGTAGGGATGTAGCTCAGTGCTTCTCAGGTTCAATTTGCAGTACTCAAGGGGTAAAGGATTGAGCAAATCTCCTTACTCACTTTCATATAAATTATATTTTAGTAAAAACAATAAAAACTCATTTGCATAAGCACACTCTGGGAACATAAACATTAATATAGAGGGAAATAACACTGCTTTTTAAAATTTAAATTAACTTCTTTTATTGGTACATTGTAGGTATACAACACAATTACATTTCTCATTGGGAATTGTACCTTTACATAATGCAGCTTGGTTCTTAATTTTTCCCCATTTCTAGCCCTCCCTTCACGCCCTCCACCCTTCCCTCTTTACAAAGACTTTATTTCCATTTTTTCCATTTCTCATCATTTTTCCTTTCCCTTCTTTCCTTTCCCCTGCCCCTCCCACTACCCCTACCA